CAGAGGATTGCCGGATGAACAAACTGCTTCCTCTTCCTCGCAAGACTCCTTATCTCGAAAACCGGAATCGGAACTTTGTTCGTCATCCGGCGTGGATAATTGCTTTCTTTCCTCCTCGTCATCATTTGGCAATGGTTTTCTTTCTATTTCCGCATTTTCTACAATAGAAAAACTATCATCAGTGGTATAAATCGAATAGGTGTTACAAAACTGAGGTGCATCTGGCGTAGACGTAGTCAATTCTGGTGCACTAGTATTATTTTGCTCAGTCGATGCGTCTATGTATTCGTTGAACTCTGCTTCATCTGAGAAGCCTGGTACCTTGTGTTCTAAAGCGGAATCTAACGCGTGATTCCAAAGTAAAACATCTACTGTATTGGTCTCAGCATTTTTCAAATTAGGAATATCGTCGTTGTCGCCTTTATTGACGAGGGGTATATCGTGCGTCTCGTAGTCCTCCTTCTGCTCTACTTCTTCAACAGAGAACATTTGGTCAGGTACATAGCGAAGAAGGGGGAGGTCCGGATCCCCCTTCGACAAGAGTCTTAATACATGTTTTTCATTGCTACGTTGCGTACTATTCACGCTTGTTTTAGATTGCACGCTATCGTTATTTTCCGGAGTTTTTCTCGTATTATCCACCAAAGAAAGACGTAAGATTGGTGTCTGACTTTGATCTGTGGTCAAAGTTAAGAGCTTCGGCTGTTCTAAATTTTCTACAGACCGTACTTTATTGGTAGCGTTGCTCGGCAAAGGATCTCGTAACTTCTTCAACGCTTCATCAAATTCATCCGCAGGCACGGTATGTCTAAGATCGCTGTCGCTACCGGTTACGGGTAACTTCTTTTTGACATTCTTCTCCGATGTTTGCGCTCCCATTGACCATTCTGCGTCGGAATCAGGATCGATATGTACAAGCACCATAAGATCCGTTACAGACTTGGACTTTTGTTTGACTTTTTCGGTATATACACCCTGCTCGATTCGACCCTTCCAGCTTTCTTCCTCGGTTTCCGAGCCAGACTCTTGAAATGTCGTGGCAGTCTTCATTTTAGGGATATTTCTCACTTGTTCGTCAGGTCCGAGACGAAACGAAGATTGTAATGAGTCTGTCGTTTGTGCATCATCCACAATATGAGTCCAATAGTCGGAATCGATACTACCACGTAGATCTTGTAAGCTAGCACTGCGTACATGCTGTTTGCAAGTATTCGCGCGTAGACTCTCCCATCGTTGCTCAAAATCTATGTGTGTCGAATGTTCATTCAAAAGAATCAGCTTTACATCGTCCAAGGAAGGTCTGTCTTTCGTATTGACATTCAAACACAATCGAATCATTTGAAATATATTTGGTGGACAATTAGTGAGATAATTTTGCAATAGTTTCGTACCGTTTGGCGCAAATTGATTTTTCAAAGATAGAATCATCTGTATGACCTGTTCGTTGTTCATATCGTTGTAAGGTCTTTCTCCCCAACTAGCGATCTCCCAGAGGAGAACCGCGTAACTCCATATATTGGCTTGTAACGTGATCTCTTGCGTTTCGATGGTAGTGTCCGTACAGTTTAAACTTTCTGGCGCGGACCATCTGATTGGTAAGGCTCGGTCTCCTACTATATAATAATCTTCAGGATATTTCTCAACACCGGTACCGTAATCACCTAACTTGGCTGATAAGTCTGGAGCAACCAAACAGTTCCTCGCCGAGAGATCCGTATGCGCGAAGCCATGATTATGCATGTGTTTTAAACCAGATACAATATCTATCGCAATTCGTATTGGAACATTTTCCTTGGTAAGTGCTTCCCTTGACTTGCTATCGCGGTTTGATAGCAAAAAACCTTTTAAATCACCAGCTGGACACGACTCAAACAGTAGAAGGTACGGATCGGTTTCTAGGCAAAATCCAAGTAAAGTTAAGACATTTTGGTGGCGTAGTTTCAAGTACGGCGTAGCCTCGCCAAGAAACCAAGCCTTTTCTCTAGTGGTAGCTTCTTCGGTGAGAATTCTTACTACTACGCCACCTGATTTTGATATGCCTTTAGACTGTTCCAAATCTGCTCGACCTTCAACGACTTTTCCAAACCATCCATGACCTATTTCTCTAAGATATTTAAGTTTCTCTCTGGGGACATAAAGCTCGTTGGAGTTAAACCATTCACTACATGGTTCTTGTAGAATAGAATGATCTGTATCTTGATCCTCGATACGTGGTGCTGACAAAGGTATTGCTTTATGTTTTGGAGCACTTCTAGTGCCCGATACAATCGAATCCACTGGTAAGGGTTCAAACTGAACCCTCTCGGAAGCGGCTAACGTTCTGGAGGCATCTAATTCCAATCCTTCGACAGAGCGATTAAATGCACTTTCTTGTCCTGTACTGCTCCCATCCTTGAATTCCTATAATGATATAACAGTGTCGTTATATGCTTTTGCATAATCAGAGCAAGCTAAGATGCAGACATAGAGACTTTTTGCTAACGTACTACGCATGCTATTCATAAACATGTCTAAAAAGGAATTACAAACTTAAGGCGTTTCTAATAATTTAGAATTATAAAATATAATGAAATCATTTCTTTAAGATTCAAAGAGATCATTAAATTATAAAGATCTAGCCCTACAATAATATATGCACTATTTACTTATGTGTCTTAAACTCTATAAAAACATCAAATATATATATAATCTAGATAAGAAACCATTTTTTCATTATTTAGAAATACATATAAAATATTATTGATATATGTACATATATATATGTACATCAATAATAATTTATAGATACAGAATCTTCATAGATAAGAATCTGTACCACTTTTAAGATTAGCCAAAACATTAATTTTGTTTACATTCCAGTTTTTATTGGTAATTTAAATTGGTAATTTATGTGGCAACAGATAAGGGACCTGCAACATCAATGTTACCTGATTGCATTTTTCTGCTTTGTCCTATAATTAAAAAATGCAAAGATTGGTGTTAGAGTTCAAAAATAATGTAATGTTCGGAAACATCACTTTTTCTATGTTTCTTAGGTACAAAAAATTAAATATGCAAATCTCTTCGAACTACCTGAAATCCTTTGGGTCTTCTGTGTCTTTGGCAACAAAGACATCCAGCTAAAGTTAATGCTGTGGCGGTGACGCTCGACAGAGCAATCGCATAACGCATCCAATAATGTTCCCACTGCCAAGAAGCACGTGATTGTGATGAATCTACAAGAATAAAATTATTCAATGCTAACTCTGATAAAATTTAATATCTTAGTTACTCTAAGATCTATTCTCTGTCTTCAACTGGACTAAAACTTTCTATCTATACTTTCATCAAACTTCAAATTTATGTTTAACTATTTCTTTTTTAATTACAAATATACTATTTTAGTTATAAAGAACATATGGATATTCTTCATTTAATGATACATTTTTTCTTTTTTGACATTCTATGATTAATAACAATAAAATGACAAGATTGTGTCAACGTGTGTCACAAATGGAAAATAGCCTATGTTGTCGATTGTCACTGTCACCTGCAGTTTATTTCTTTTATTTTAGAAAATGAGAAAAGAGGAAAGCAACTATAAGCAAACAACATTAAACTCTTCTGTCTGTCAAACAGTGTTTGCATATGCACATATGTGATAGAATTTAAGGAACATCAGGTCAGTTGACATTCATGAGAACAGCGTGTACTCTGCGAAGGAACTCGCAAACGACGTACCAGCAACGAGCGGCGACGGTACAGGATAGGCTGCGAGCATCGGTAGACCCACCCAAAACAGCCAACAAATCCGACGTAGGTTCTGCATCGTGTACCAAGACAGTTCCTTATCATCCACGTTATGATTCGGCAGCAAGCTGGCTTAGGTCATTCTCGTGTTTGCGTTGGCGGCGGCGACAAACCGCGACCTTAGAGATTCGATAGTCGTCACGGACACAGACACAGGTCGACAACGCGCTCATAGTCTTCGCCCCGCGTGCACCTCGCGCCTTCGTAGCGACAGCGCAGGCGAAAGGTAGCGAAACGTACGGCAAGGCCTATCCGGGCTGTGCATGACACGGTTACTCCCGTAGCGGCGTCTCGTGACGTTGCGTTGTCGACGAGCTCTAACGACACTGGGACTGCTGCAAGTAGATCACTTTGCGCATAATGTGAAAAGACATGCCTTCCTTCAGTTCCTTCTCCACGCCAGACACTCCGCGAGTCCACGCATCGTTTCCCAGCGGAAAAGTGCTCGTCCAGAGGGAGAAAGCGCCGACGGATAACTCTGTCTTCACGTGCCGATCGCACATTTACGTCAATTTATGTACACATCTGGAGGGCTTCTTACTGCGACTTGTGTATGTTAAAAATTCATTTGACATTATTCTGCATTATTCCATGGAGTAGGAAACAATTGGGTGCGAAATGGTGTGAAATGCCTATCTAGGAGAGGGGATGTATGGATAGGTGATTACATGAAAAGGACGAGAATCCGATTAGCGATACGCCATGTTGTTGACACAGTTTCTGACGTTGAATGAAGAAAAACAATGGTCATTGGCGGTCAACAATATGGCGCGCTGTGTTTCAATTAGCTGATTAGTGCATTCTTGACGTCACGCGGAAGTGTTATTTCGTCGAAATGCTTTTTTTGCTCAATAAGAGAAATGCAAATTTAGCGCTTTATTATATAAATTAATATTTTATTTTAGTCTAGAAATATGCTACGTTCATGTAAAAGTTGGCTAGTAGACGCTAGATAGATAATAACTGCCAAATTTGAGAAATGGAAATATACTGTGAATGGATTTTAAAAATTAACAAGTTTTTAATTAAATTTTGAAACCTTAAATCAAGTGTTTAAAAAAATTTGCGTCGAAAATTAATTCCACATCATGCCGTTTGTGGCGTTGGAATCGAAAACATGTTATATTCCTTCTATGTATAATATAGTCGATGACTTTCTCCCCGCTATTTCTCTGCCGCCATCTTGAAATATCTCACTCATTCGACAATCGAGTCAACGTTCATTCCTTCTTCCGGTCCATCCTGCTACGCTCGCATCTGCACGATACACGTGGTGAGTTTTGGTATATAGCTTGGTCTTTATTATCGAATTTTTTCTTAGTAATCCGCTGTGTCAGAATATGTATCTTACAATCATGATATATTCTAAATTATCAAATATCTTCGCAAACCAGTATTATTTGCAAATAGTCGTATTTTATGATCTTTGCATGCGTATAACTTATCGTCTATGCAAAGATATATATCTAACATAAATGTGCTCTGGCTTTTTGAAATTCTTTGTTTTAATGTAATTACAATTTACATTATTGGCTTTTGGTTGAAAAAAATTATTTTATTACATAAATATTGAAAATGATGATGGGTAATCATCGAGATCTATGAATACTATATGATTTGCATACCTTTCCAACTGATAATTATTTAAATCAGCCTAAAAAAACAATTTTAATAGAAAATAATCTTTATTAATATAGTTATTTTATTATTTAGGTTGCTCCCAATTCATAAGCAAAGCAGTATCTTGAAATGAAGGTATTTATATATTTTTTCATATCGCTTTATATTTTCAGTATACTCGTAGTGTTTAAATTAAATGATGTTATCTTTATCACCAAGATCTATGAATGCTGTGATATTAAAATTTGCTACTTCTGATATCATAAAGTTTAGTAAAATATATGATATATATGATGTTGTATAACTAATACAGAATTTATTGTGTTTAAGGTTTGCTAAATTCCTGAGATTTATGATGGCAACAACTCTAGGTAATTTTTATTTACTATATAAATTTAATTCCTATAATTATATATTTCGTAGTATCTGAAAATGAAAATTATCTACAAAGATCTATGAATGCTAATTAATTTCTGTAATATTTACTAACTGATTATTTACATTAATCTGAAATTCATGTAAAAATATAGTAACATTAATTGTTAAATAAAGTTATTATCCTTTCATTTTCTGAACAAAATATTTATTTTTAAATCCTTTTAATCTTCTAATAGTCTTATTAAATATTTTTTCAATGGTTTTTATATCATTGGAAATAATATCGATTGCAAAATTAATTGGAAATGTTAATAAAATACTAAACATAAGGTGCATAAAATTAATATCTGAATTTCATGGAAAAATTTTAATAAAACATCCTGAATATATTTGAAAGTACAATACTAGATTGCGTTTTTAAGGAGGGCAAATGAGAAATTGAAAAATCAGTATTATCTCTACATTCCTTTTATTTGTATGAGATCAATACATTTAAATTATTTTTTTATTGAATGTATAGTTTTAGTACAGTTCTTTTATTTTATGAATAAGATTTTTGTGTCGAAACAAAATCAGAAGTAGAACTTATAATTATTATCATTATATAATTAAGAAATTTTTATATAAGATTGCACAAAGATGTATTATCTATTCTGTTCGCTTAAGGCTCATATGTATGTTTAACTTCTTTTTCTTTAAGTTCAGAAATTGTTATATAAAAATAATTTATATTAAAAATTCAACAAATTTAGTTTAATAAAATTATTTGATTAGAAAGTTACACAAAATTTCTTGTTTCATCTTCCGTATTTCTACTCGTAAAATTAAACGCTGTTTATGATATCGGAGAAAATGCATCAGTGTGGAAAAGGTGTGCTAATATGTGTTTACACGAGTAATGAAAGGACGTTTTCGTAGACTGATTATCCTGCGGCGACAAGACCAAAAGGACTTGCGTTCGCTACGTGCTAGCTATTTCCGCGTCAGTCCTTTTGCCCGCTCTCCTCGAAGGGAGAAATCGTAACGCTTTAGGATTGCGGTTCGCCTCGTTTGCGAAGCTGTACATTGCTAACTGCACCGCTAACGAGACTCTAGCAGGAATTGCAATAGCCACGCGTCGCACTATGACGTCTTCTCGCCGTTCGACTGAATAAAGCTTGCGCTCTCGACTATGTACGGCTTATTAATTTAACTTGTCGCGTTGCGAAATACCTTGGCGAGGTCGCAACTGCTGAGGAAGCTTGCACCGATCGATCGCTCGTAAACGTCTATTAGCATGTAAACGCCATTCGTGAATAGTAAATGTTGACTGCGCATCAAGAATGTTTAAGTCTCCAATAGAAATATCGTCACTATTTATTTATCGATGGAAGTATTGATGTTCAGTGTTGTATCCAAAATTAATAATCAGAGACATTTTGCGGTAACAAGTCAATAAGAATTTAACATATTTAAAAAAATGAAAAAAATGAATTTTATAAAAAAGTAACGTGATATAACTCTTACAAATTCTTTTGTTATAAACCGAGAAAGAGAGACGTGACGAAAATGCAAGGAAATAAAAGCTTTCCAATCAAAGTAAGACGCAATGTGGAATCCTTTGGCAAGTGCAACAGGGATTTAAGTACGCGGTGCACGGAACAAATGGGCCTCTTCGGGATTCTCATCCGGCCTTTACCTGATAGAAATATGCGAAAGAGGAAAGGAAAGCTCGAGGCGATATTCTTTGCGGCTTCTTCAGAATCTCAGCTTCTTTAGAATCTCGAGATTCGATGAGATATAGTATATATAAGAATAAAACATAAGAACGAAGAAGTAGGATATAACGTTAGCGATACGCGATAAAATTATATTGGGTGCACCAGAAAATAGCAGCCAATTTTATGTTGTAAGCTCGGTAAGAAAAAGATATGTAAACTGTCGTTTATATATTTATTATAAGATATGTATTTATTATATAGGATAAATAATAAAATATATACAATACTTACCGTAAAATCGTAAGAAACAGTTTGGATACTTTCGCGATAAATTTTGCTTTATTATCATAAACATGCTTCTCCTTATTGTAATTTATGAATCGGCCCATTTATTTTTATGTTTTATATTGTGTCTCGCGGAAAAAGGGCCATAAAGTTTCCCAGGGAATTATGAGAGGTGATATATACCATTATGGAATTCTACGGAGGATGGAAAATGCTATTCTCCGAGTACTACCCGTTCCGAATTACAGCGATTTCCGGCAACTCTGCTCAGCATCCGCAGCGGTGGACCAGAATTTCGTGGAAATTATGACAATTAGCGCAATTAAAATTGGTTCACAACTAATTTGGATTTGCGTACCTTTTGCATAGCGGCCGCGTAAACACGCGATACAAGGCATCATTTGCAAACAATGTGTAAATTAATATATCTTTTATTAGAGTATTGTGTGTGCGCATACGCTTTTGTAAGGAAACACATACTGCTACAAATTACGGAGCATTATGAAAGTATTTACAAATAGAATAAAATTACATACTAAAGTTTTATATTCAAAACAAATGAATGGTATTATACTGCCTTAGTTTACATGAAAAACACTAAACCGTTTGCAATCTTTTTCATTATTTCTATATGTATATTAAATTTAATCTTGAAGTCACAAAAAATGGTATAAAGTATACTATTATGTTCTTCAATAATCTTCCTTCTTGCATATATTTTATTATATAATTCTGAATTCTTTCAGATTTAATATAAAGAGTTAAAAATTATATAAGAATAAGAGAATATGTATACATTTTTTATTGATTTCCTTTGGGATTAATGCAAAGACTCTAATAATGTCGAAATGCCTATGAACTGAAGGTTTCACAAAAATGATCATCTCTGGAGGGAGAAGAAAAAGAATCGGACAAGGAGGAGGAACCAGCAGAACTGAAGAAGGACCGTCGTTCTTCTTGTTGGCGAAAAAAGGAGAGGTCGACTCATGAATAATGCGGGGGGTGAAAGCCGGCTGAAACAATTGCCGGGCGTCGCCCTACTCCAGAAATTACATCGTCAGATTTTCCACGAAATTAAAACATTATACCGGGTGCCCGAGCTATCACGTGCTCCCTGCGTTAGTCGCAGATTTTTCAGCGAATTTCTACTTCACGGTCTTGCAATTTTTAACATTAAGTGCCTTCGTAAGTGCAGAGTGAAAACGGTTTTAAGACATTCGTGTAATATTATAGATAAGGAGTACCTTCCCCTTTTATCTACATTCGTGATTCTTAGAAGTTAATTCTTTTATTTTTAATTATACCAATTCAAAGGATTTTTATATATCTTGATGTTAACATATATTAATATTTTTTAAATATTTTTTTGTCTTGGGTCTCTTATTCTAATTACATAATCTTATTACAAGGGGGGGATATCTACAAGGCACTATTTATCGACTGTATATAATGTTACATTTTTAATATTTCAAAATTTCCTTTTTTCTAATTAAGTAATGAGAATATCTACGACACAGTATGTATTTCATTCTCTTCTACAGCTCTCGTCTTTTCATCTTTTTTCGTGGCCTTTTTCTACTTACGCGATACGTCAGCTCGTCCTGGGGAAAAAATAGCCGATTATGCGATCTGACTGACGGCGATACGCCAGCAAGGACACTTTTCTTCAGGATTTAGTAGCTCCTTCTTGCCGAGAAGGAAATTGCGAGGCTGGCTCGCGTCAGGCGGCCGCTAAGCAATTTCTAGGATAATGTTGGCCCGGTTATTAAACGTCCTTATGGCCGTCGTCGTTTTGAGAGAACGTCTTTTCAGGAATTGAAAGAGTCGCGTTGGACTAAAGAGATAAGAATTCAAACGTGAAAATTGAATAATTACTTGAGTCGTCAAAAAGAAGCTATAAAAAAATACGAAGACGAATTTTCAATTTGTACAATGTTATACATAATTTTTTTTCTTCCGAATATTTTATTTATTTATGGACGCTGCAGCGTTCGATATGCCTTTATCTATAATATTTTATCCACTTTTTTGTTGTTGGAGCTCTCTAAATAATTTTTAAAAAAGGAGGACGATATTTAAACTTCTTCCTCTACGTTTCAGCTTACAGCTCTCGAGTAAATCCTCGTTTCAGATTCCTCGACCTTTGCCCGCTGCTTCAATGGTGTTGATTGCTTATCTGAATATGCATAATCGCGACGATAATGACAACGCTCGGGCCGAACACTCGGCCATACGCCGTGCATACATAACGAGAATGCAATTCCCTTATGTGTCTGCATGTGGACCATCGCCGACAATAAAGCGATCATCGCCTCTTATATGGAAATTCGACTTATGATCCCTCTGATAGCGAACCAAATATTTGTTGTTGAATTTTTTAATCTTTTATTTCAATGTTAAACTAAGCGTAGAAGCATATTCGGCTATATACATTTTACGCTTCTAACATTGAAATAAAAAGAGGTATACAAATTTTATATATAGATATATAAATAAATAAAAATTTTGAAACTCTCTCTCGAATCTTTAATTTCTGAAAAGCAAAAGCTAGCTTTATGTATATATACATATATATGTATATATATATTATATATATATATAAAATATTCTTTTCCAAAATTAAAAATTCAAGTTTTTATACATTTTGTTTATTTATGTCTTTCATTCGTCACTTTTTTCTTTTGCAATTTTTACAATTTAAAAGTTCCCATTTTTCTTCTCCGAAACTCGTTTTTCATCCAACTTATGCATCGTATGTTTTATGTATTATGCAATTATGCAATGCGTTTAAATGGCTTGTTATAAAAATGCGGTTGATTGGTGGATTTTATGATTAACCAATGCGTGGTATAACTAAATATACAACTTTTTTCGATTCATCCGAAGTGTTTTTATGATAATATACTTGACATTAGAACTCACATTTATATGCGCGAGATATAAAAAGAACCTGCTTATAAGACTGACGTGAGCGGTATAGAAATGTTATAAATGCGCCTGCGTGTGGTCTCTTTTTTTTCAGATCTTTTATGCAGAAATTTTTTTATGTACAAATTTTTCAATCGCAGGACAAATTAAAGGTGAAATTTTTTACAGACTCCCTCTTCTTTCTTTTTTTCTTACATCAGGAAATTGCAATCGTTTTATCGTTCATCAGTCATTAGTATAATAACACGTAAGAGATAATTATTACGTCATCACATATAGAAAATTTCTAAGTGTACCAAAAGTAAACTAGGAAATGACGGAAATTTTAGGATAATTGTATGCTTCTTTCGCTTTCTCTTCCTCTTTCTACGTGTGGTAAGCCAATTTACACTGGACATTCGGTGTGCCAAACATTAGGTTGCTTGGGCAACCTTTGTGTCCGCGAGATAGCATGCATCATGTATGCGTGAACGCGCGTCCGTCTAGTGGTAAAGTCTCCTCGGAATATACGGGAACAGATTTTCCATCCACGTGTAAATTTATATCGGACAAAAGGGGAATAGGAAACTGAAAGGGAAAAAGGAATAAAAGAACACACGTACGATGTCGCAGATGCGAGATCTAATTTTTTTAAGTAACAGAGTTATGTGACGAAGATATGTGAGAGATTTTCAACATCTTGGATTTCATAACTGTATTACTTTGAGAAATGTAATTAAGGTTTCAATTCAAAGTTTCGTTGACGTAAACCTTACACTTGAAACTGTGAATAATAATAGTAACTCTATTCAAACTCCGTTTACGTAAATATTAATAATTTCTGGTATTCAAGAGCTATTGGAATCATTAGAGGGACAGTATTTCTTCTTGGACGTTTATATATAATGTTGAGAGAAATAAGAAGAGAGAAGGCGAGCAACGCCGAAAATGCTCTGGATGTTGTTCTTGAGGAAAAAGTTTGCGCATCCCAGTGTGGTTTTTTGTGGCGTCTGGACATAATAAAATAACGCTCACAGGGGCGTATAACGAATTGAATTTCTGCAGGAATGACCCGAGGCGCGCGTCGCGGAAGGGTGTGTATTCGGACAGAAATACATAGATATATATACAGACACATCCCTGTCGCGAAGTTATAATAAATTCAAAGCGAACGAGGACACAGTGGCGGGCGGGAGTGGCTCTCGGGTTACGTCTGGATTTCGCATGGAATATATTCCGCACGCGAATTCAAAACCCTCGGTTTGTGCTAAAAGTGTCTAAAAGCTGACCGCTAAAGTACGGAGGTCTCGTCAGGTGACTTCAAGTCATTCGAGAATACTTAAAACACGGAAACATTCTAGATTATGACTTTTCTCAAGTTTGCTATAAAAGACTCCTTCCGCAGGCATAATTTTTTTATCACAATTTTTGTCACATTCGTTCTATTCCAACTGCATTGTCATTCTTTAATCTCTGTTATTCTTTAATTTTACTTTTCTATTTCGTTACTGTAATATTTGAATACGCGTTTATTTCGTAACATCGATATATTTCTGTGTGTCATACCGATCTTATTTATTATAGGTATATTAATAACATTGTCAGCTTTTAAAAAAGGAAGATTTCAACAAATATCGAACTATATATCTCTATAGTCTCTTTATTGCGTTAAATTTTATTGATAAATTTTTATCTCATACCAGTCTTATTTTGATTATAGTAATTTATTTTATTAATTAATAAATTATATAATGCTCGTCCATTCCTTTTTTATTTACTTTTTCTTTTCTGTCTATATATGTATACATATGTATATTTAGAAATATGTCTTCTCTATGTTATGATATTCTTATTTAATTTCAATGAGAGAATCGATGTTTTTAATGGTAATTTATGCAAAAAGTGCGGTGAATACTTTCGAGACTAAACGAATGCATAAATATACGTTTTCTCCGAGAAGTAGAGGCTTATTTTCACACGTCATTGCCTCACACATGTAATAGCTATAATGGATCACTTTAATATTTATTTTATCCAATAGACGACATGGCATTATATATGTGCCGTCGCTGAAAAACTGCAATAATAATGCGGCGTTAAGTCAGCCACTATCGACACGCGCACAGTGAAGAAAACGTTTTATGTAGGTCCTTTTTGATATGATAATATCAAAAAAGGATAAAGTCCGCGTTCGTAAGGAACATTAACATAAGTTTTGATACGTGAGGTGAAAAAGCGGACTCATCCGTCATCTTGATCTCGTCTGATGAATAACAAAATAGCGAAAAAAATCTCAGGCAATTTATCTGGCTTTGCGACTGAATTTGTATTATGAAAATGACTCAATGCCGATATCAATTTTTAATATTACGTCTAAATTAAATTACGTGTTTACGTTTTATCGAAATAGAAGCATTAACGATATTAGTTACTCCTTCACTCAGCTATTCAACTTCTTTTAACA